ATGGGGGCCCAGGAAGTCCCTCACGAAGATCGCCACTCCGCCCGTACTCCCCAAACCCTCACCAGGGGCCGCAGGGCCCCAAATACCTCGCCAACCGTGCCGAGTCGACCAGGCGCTAGCTTTGTGGATCCCCTCCCGAGCCAGAATGTGGTGCTCCTGCATCAGCACTACGTGGGCAGAAGAACTGGCGAGGTACTTCTGCCCAGTCCCCCACCCAGAAAACGTTGGCCGTTTCAAAACTCAGGGCGATGGACAAGGGCTGTTCCTGGCAAGAAGGAGGAGGAGGAGGATCCAAAGGAGAAGAGGTGGGGCTCGAACCCTGGGCCTGGGTGTCCGACCGAGGCGACCCCAGGAGGTCCTGAACCAGGGTCCTAGTCCAGGTGAGCCGAGACCAAAACGAGTTTATAGCCGGCCTGACCAAGCCGCAGAAAGTGAAACCTGGAACCCCCCCCCCCCTCAGGCGCCCTTGGGCCCTTAGGCGCTCGCGGCACCTTCCCGGGGGGGGGGGGTGTTCTTAATGATGGCAGCTGCTGCCTCACGAGTGGCACGACGAGCTGCCGCCTCCGCGTCGGCAGAGGAACCAGGCTGACCCGTGGATCCACCACTGGCCGCCGCGCCGCCCTCAGAAGCAGGAGGCTCGCCGCGGCCACCTGCTGCCGCGGCACCTCCCTCACCTCCTGGAACGACGACTGGCTCATCTGCGCCCCCTGCACGACGCTCCTTCTGAAGACGGTTGATGAGTTCAGAGCGCTCGGACTTGACGGCCTTGACCTTGTCCGATGCCTCGCCGAAGAGGGTAACAACTGCTGCGTGAATCTCAGACTGAAGATGCCCCAAACGTTGCTTTGCCTGTTTCTGGGTGCTCTCGTCAATCTCATACTCGTCGGAAAGATCGCCCGCGAGCGAGCCCAATGAGATAGGCAACTCTGTGACTGTGTCCGAGATGATGTCGTCCATGCTGATGACGGTCGGTGGTGGAGCTGCCCCGCCCGTCTTCTCATTGAGAATGCGAACCAATCGAGCGTGCTCCGCCTCCGCCGCGCCCAGCTCACCAGAGACCTTCTGGACCCAGGCGTGTCGAGACTGAAGCTGCTCTTGAAGACGCTGATGATGAGAGACCGCTTTGGAAAGTTTAGCTTCCGAGCTGCGAACCGAATTGAAGGCGTCGGAGACCTGCTGCTGGAGTGTCGGCTCCTGAGCTGCGCTGGCAGCCTGAGCCTTTCGCTGCTCCAGAATCCGTTGGTATCCCTTGCCCCCGTCGACGTCGCCGATCTTGGTGAGCGCCTCGATGGTCTGCTGGATGTCCCCGACGGGAACGTCAGCTGCGAGCTTGGGCAGCAGCGCTGGGGCGTTGTTTGACAGGAACTGTGGCCCAGGACGGACAGGCAAAGTGCCCGAAGGAGGAGTCACAGCACCAGGAGAAACACCAGGCGTAGGCGCTGGCGGCGGGGGGATGAAGCCTTTCCACACGGCTCCTCCGCCCCAGCCGCCGTTCCAATCTTGTCCGCTCTCGCCTTGGCTAAACCGCTGATGGGCCCAGTGGTGGTTGCGACCCGAGAAATTGCCAGGGGCGCCCCAAGCCCATTGCCCACGAGGAGGCTGTCCACCATCTGCTGGTGCGACGTCCTGACGAGGGGCATGACAATGCTTGCAATGCCTCCAACGACCCAGGTTACGTTTGCAGCCGCATTGCTGGCAAGTCCAGCGAGGAAGCTGGTCCTTGCTGGCAGCCATGAGTGGTAGCCTTTGGAGGTGATATTACCCTCGTTAACCGCCGAAGGGCGGCTCTCAAGCTAGCACAAAACTGGTACAGCCAGGGTAAATGGCCGACATCTCCTGAAAAGAGTTCGAGCCAAAACAGCTTGAGGTTCCCGGTGGGAGCGCAGAGCCGAGAGCGACGAGGGGGGAGAGGGGAGGGAAGCACGAACACGAGGAGGCACGGCGGGGGGATCCCGAGGGGGAGGGCCCCCAGTCCGCGGGGACGGACGCAAGAGTGGCAACGCCACCGGCCAGCAAGAGACTGATGTTTTTTCACATCCCGGGGGGATCGCACACGTTGAGTACCCCAGGGAGGGGGGGAAAAGGTGGGCGTGCAATGGTAACGGTGGCTACCAGAGGGGGGGGGGGACCACTCAAGCAGCAGGAGGATCACCAAGAGGAGCAGCAGGGAGGATAATCAGCAGGAGGATGTTTTGTGCCGCTGCCGTGCTCTACCACGAAAGTTAGCAATCCTCTCGGCCCCTGGGGGGGCGGGGGGGGGGGCGAACGGCCGTCGAGCACGGCACTGCAGAGATAACGCTGGCGGAAGAGTTTGCACAAGTGCGCCGCCGATCGAGGCACACGCCCCCGCAGCAGGAGGCAACATAGACTTGTGCAGGTGACTGGCGCCGAGAGACGGCGTACTCAAACACGCGGATCACGTTGTTAGCCTCAGCGATCCGCTTTGCATGATTGTCGGCGAGATCATTGCCAGCCTTGCGGAAACTAGATCCCCGGCTCCTGAAGACCGACATGCGACCCTTGCCTTTCAAAATGGGCCCCTTCGAGTTGTCGGAGGTCCAAACCGGCATCCCAGCATGGACTCTGTTACGCGATAGGTGCTTGGGCCGAGGCTTGGCCCACAAATCCACTACGTTCTGGCCGTCGCTGTAAGCTTTGGCAAGTGCAACAGGATTCTGACAAACAGGAGTGGAGGCAGCAACTTGTCCAGTGCGGTCTGGGTAGTTTGCGGGATGAGGTGAGCGAGGGGGGAGTAGGACTTGACTCAACCCCTGCCCAGAATCAGAAACCGACACATACAGTAAGTCCCCTTCAGACAACTCCCTGTATCGCAGATCGAATCACAAGCCACCCGTAAATATTTGACCTCGTACTCGATAGTCTTCACGCTCAGGCTCATCCAAATGCTTGAAGGTGGGTTCAACATTAGTCGGTGGCGAGAAGAACGGTTTTACTCACCAGGGTGCGTGTTTTTAAACGGAACGTTGTCCAGCAACTGGACCCGAATATCATGGATAGGCCCGTGGGCGCAACACCAAATCCGACGCGACATCGCGTCACTCCCAAGGCCTCACAACAGGCACAACGGCTCGGACATCGCGCATCCATGATCCTGGGCACGGCACCTGATCCCGGGTGCCTGGCAAGCCAGCCCGATAATAGCATTTTGTCTCCAAGGGTGTGTATCGCTTTAGTCCAAACTGCCCAGAAACCATATCAGCACAAGGCAACACACTCGAGGCCCAGGTATTCAACGCAGCAGAGCTCATGGATCATAGGGACCGCGGACCTGAAAGGCGTTTGAGAACAGGGGTAAACCACGTGAGGGGCACCTCCAAACCAACATGTCGATGAGCCTGCTGGGCCACGTCAACCCCCAAACGAGAAGTTCAACCGAAAATCTGAGGGCTCCAACAGGGCCTCTGGCTTACCTGCGGGATGGGAAAGGACCAACAAACCCGACTGCACAGGCCTCGCGCAGAACCGACCGGGAAATCACAAAACTGCACGAGCAAACTAACCTCGCCCAAATTGCTCTCGACCATCTCACGATATGGGCGCAACCAAACAAAACCACGAAGGGTCGGCGGCAAAAAGCCAGGCAGCCGTGAGGGAACGCCCCACCGCGCTGGGCTGCAAGATACGCCCCAGACACCTCCGCAGAGAAAACAGCTCGTGAGCCGAAGTGCCGAAGTGCCGAGCTCGTGAGCCCAAGCGTCCTGCTAGTATTCATCCATAGGGTAAGGACGCATGATAAGGACACAAGAGCCTAGAAAGGCCGTGTCAACACTTTGCAGGCGGGGCGCGGCCAACGGAAAACAGCCAAAGATGGGCCGACCGGGAAGACTGCAAGGGTAACCCTTGACAGCCGCTCATCCTTACTACGCGGGTTGACTGTAAGCAAGGCCCCCGACGAAAACACTGTCTTGGCCTGCCCCTGCAGGCTCCGTAATGAAAGGCAGATCACAAACCTCCCAGACGAGCAGTTTTAGACCCCCCCCAGACCAACCATGAGAAGTAGGCCTTTTGCCATGACCTCCCTGGATTCCTCCGAGACAGCTCGACCCCCCCAAATATCAGGCCAACCCCCTTTTACTATGATATTCGGATCACTCAGAGACGCCTCTTAGAGCGTCGTTCAAAACTGAAATCTCCCAACTTTGATCGTAACCTCTCCTGGCCGTTCGACGGGGCTTGCAAGCACCTATCTGATGGCAGCGCCGCACGGGCGGGCGGCGAGGGAAGAGGGGAAGTGAGAAGGCCTTCTCAGAACCTTCTGAGACGGCCTTCTCCTTTTTACTCCCCCCCCTCGCTCGCCGCCGAGAGGCGACCACTGCCGCTTCAGAAACTACAATGACACAACCGAGATTTTTCTCGATGATTTCCTGAAGACTAGCGGCCCTTTCCAGGAGATCATCCGCGACAGCATTCACCGCGCCCCGGCACGACAGGTTGCAACATCGATGTGCACTGCCAGCGAGACAGGAGGAACAGCAGGAGGAGCAGCAAGAAACGCAGCAAGAGGAGCAGCAACAGCAGGAGCATCATTAGGAGAAGCAGTAGCACGAGGAGCCGCATGAGTAGCAGCAACAATAGTAGCAGCAGGAGCAACAGCAGGAGGAGTAACAGCAGCAGCAGGAGGAACAACAATAAGACTAACAACAATAACTCCCGAAACACAACTGGAATACCGGAGCAACAAGAGGAGCATCACTGAGTTCCTGGCGTTACCGTTCGGTGGGGGGTTACATGTGGTATCCCCCAGGTGGATGGAACAACACGCTCAGACTGTCCCTCAGACTTGGTCCGAACTGTTACCGATGCCGATTGGCTCAACCTGGCCTGGCCACACGGATATCCCGACTCCCTGGGGGACCAATACCACCCGAGCTTCCTGGGTATGCGAGGCCAGTCAGAGGAGGCTTAAGGCCTGTGCCTGCTGGACCGGCACCGAGAGCGGAGGGGAGAAACGAACGAGCGGCGGACGTGGGCGAGGAGGCCTGGGCTGCAGAACCCGCACTGCACGCCGTCGCCGTCCGCCAGCTTCTGCTGGATGGGGTGGGCGGCGCCGGCGGCGCCGCGGCAACACCTGCGCCGGAGGGAAGCGTCGTCGTCGTCGTCGTCGTCGTCATCTTCGTCTTCGCCCTGCGCCTCCTCCTCCTCCTCCTCCTCCTCCCTTTTTCCTGCTCCCCTCTCCTCCTCCCTCTCGGCCTCCTGCTCCCTCTCTCCCTCTCCTTCCCTCTCTCCCTCTTCCTGGCGCTTTTCCCCTCCTCGTTCTCCTCCTTACTGGCTGAGGGGGATCGTGGCGAGGCCTTCGATGGCGACTGACCGTCTCAAGAGTCGCTCGGCGCTTGACCCTCGAATCACGAAAACTATGTATATGCATATACATATGTCTACACATACACGGCGGCACCGACCCTTGCCAGACCCACCCTTCCAGTCGGACGACAGGGGGGTCTAGTAAAAGAAGGGTAAGCGAATCAGCTCACGCAGCTGGCTTTCCTGGCTTCCACGGTGGAAAACGTCTGGCGGCGGAGCTGGAGCCACCCTTCCTGAGGGGTACGGGTTGAATCTATGTGTTTTCTCCCTGTTCACCGACCCCCAACCCCCCAACTGGAAATGGAGGACACATCGAGGTCTTCGGGTTGGGCTGGGGTGGTCTGGTGGGTGGTGACCTCCTTCCCTGCCCCCTCCCCCCCCCTCCCCGCTTCGTCCAACCCGAGCCCCGGGGCCCCAGAGCGGTGCGTCCGCCCTCCGCCTGCCCGGTCCTGGCAAGGGCTATTCCGATCTTGGACCGAGGGTGGACCCAGTGGGTGGGCCCACCTCCCTCCCTCCCTCCCTCCCTCCTCCGCCCTCCTCCCTCCCTCCTCCTGCATCCCTCCTCTGGGGAAGGGTGGGCCCAGTAGGCAGGGTCGACGAGCGGGGCGCACCACGCCTCGCTACGACGTCGGCCCTAGTCCGTGGGCCCGGCCGTCTCCGCACGTGGCTCTCTCTTTTTTTCGTCGGAACAAGGCGAATTGGAACGACGGCGGCTCGAAACCTGTCCCCAGACACAAGTTCCACAAGTTCCCCGAGCTGCGCCCAGCCGTGGCGACGAGGCTGCCCCCGAACGCCAACAGTCGAAGCATGGCAGCAAGACCGACAGTCAAGTCAAGCACAGAGCCCCGTCTCCGAAGCCCGGGGGCCCCATGTTCGGAGATACCCGAGAGGAAGAGCACCACACGGTGGGAAGCCCATGCGCGAGGAAGATAAAGGGTACCCCTCCGATGCTGTGCCAAATCTTGAGCTGTTCTGGACCCCCCCCCGCCGACTTTGAGGAACCGCGATCGAGCAATGTAGCAAGTGGTATTCCCAGGGGCACGGCTGCTAAACATGAGCCCAAAAACGCTCCCAAAACAGAACGGTTTCGGATTTTCCAAGACGCAGCAAAAACTCAACCACTCCCGGAAGGGGGTTGGAAAAATGACATACGGCACCCCCTGTTCCAGAGTGCGCTTGAAAATTACCAAACATGGACGGTTCCGTCGGTCTGGCCAGAGACATCCCGCGAAAAATGGCCCACGGTACCCCCGCCCCAAAATGGTCCATTTCGGCGGCGCATGTTTTGTGGCCGTGCCCCCAAAAATCTAGTTCCTGACCTGGCCGGGTCCACGTCGCCAGCGGCCCTCTGCCCGTCTCTCCTGCCCTCCCTCTCTCTCTGTCGCCGCCGCCTCGACGCGGGACGGCCTGGCGGCCCCGGGGCTCCGCGGGCCGCGAAGTGACCACCACGCTCAGGCTGTGCCGTCCGTTTGGGAGGAGAGAGAACTGTGCACATCCGGGGGCGGCCAAGAGGGGGGGCGCCCGAGAGGGGGGGTGCAAGTCATGGCCGGCGGCACGTGCGCGGCCCGAGGGGGGGCCAGGGACGTCATGAAACGAGAAGAGGCGCCAGGAGATCTGGGGAAGTACCACGGCCCACGCCATGATATCCACCGCCCCCCCAGTCATCACCCCCCTCTTTGCCGCCCTCGACGCATACAACCTGCGAAATGCTTAAGAAATCATGGGTTAAGAAATTCATAGTCTCAGAACTTGGAGAAAACCCAACATGTCTATTAAAATCTTAGGATTTACATCGAAATTAAGAATAATCGAGACGCTGGCCGAAAACTTAAGTTTTCTTAGCATCGCCTAAGGTGTACGCCCTCGTGGCTTGGCCAGGGAGGCCTCTGCACCGACCCGGGGCCCCAGGGCGGGCCCGGCAAGGGTCGGCGTCTGTGCACGGGTCGGCTCGCCCGCTGCTTCTGGGGTCGGACGGACCAAGAAGCTGGCAGCGGGAAGAGGAAACAAATCTGAGCATTTTCTTAGGGTGGAGGGCTCAGGGTGAAATCCATATGGGCTTGTGCACCTCGAAAACCAATCCGTCTTGTGATTCACCTTTCGCAGATTCCCTCGAAAATCCATCGAAACGGCATTTCAGATTTCACCCTTTGCCCTCCACCCAAGGAAAATGCTCGGCAAATGCGGAACTGTCGGAGTCGGGCGCGATCCGATAGGGGGCTCTTCCGTGCCGATCAGGGCATGGCGTGGAGGCCGTAGCCTCGAGCATGGTCAGCCTCAGAGCTGGTGTATGTTAATAGGAGCGGTGGTCTTGTCCAGGCGATCTGGTTAATCATGTTACACGCGCGCGAGTTCCTCCGCGAATCAGCTCGCGCAGCTGGCTTCCCTGGGCATCAAGACCAACTGCAACTGCATGCAACAGAACTTCGCACTTGACCCCTCCATCTGTTGAGATCCGAGGCTGCAAGCCTCCTTTGGGGCGCACTTCCGACACACTGGGAAGTCGAATAAACAATCCGAGGTCTGGCGGATGCGAAGTCAGCCCCTTTAGCAAAACGCCTTGAGTTGAAGCTGCCAAAGATACTCCACGTGCGCACCGCACCGCAATCCGAGTGAACCCAAGCGGGGTAGCTCATCGACGTCCAAAAACTATCCTGGCGAAGGGCCCGACCAAGTGCAACTGTGGGTACCGCATTATGAATACATCTTTCGGTAGAGGTTCCTATGGGGGGCCACGAGCCGTGTGAGGGGTGTACCGAAAGGAGGCGGGGCCGCCATGCGAATCCTGCCACTGGGGCCACCGGTGAAGCTTCTTATGGGGCCACGAAACGTGTGAGGGCGTGCCGAAATAGCAATCTGCGAACCCTGCCACTGGGGCATTCTGCGGGGCTCCTTATTGGAGCCCACGAAACGTGTGAGGGATGTGCCAAAGTGGAGGGAGGCCGCCATGCGAACCCTGCCACTGCGGCCTTCGGTGGAGCTCCCTGCGGGGCCACGACGCGTGTGAGGGGTGTGCCGAAAGTGGAGGGGGGGCAACATGCGAGCCCTGCTACTCAAACCTCTAAAAGAGTCCCCTATGGGGACACGAACCGTGTGAGGGGCGAGCCGAAGTGGAGTGGGGCGGCATGCGAACCCTGCCACTGCCACCTGGAGCTCCCTTATGGCCACGAAACGTCTGAGCGGTGGAAATGGGAGCTCCCTGCCATGGGGCCACGAAACGTGTGAGGGATGTGCCAAAGTGGAGGGTGGCGGCATGCGAACCCTGCCACTGGGGCCTTCGGTGGAGGGGACCACGACGGCATGCCAACCGCATGGGCCTTCGGTGGAGCTCCCTATGGGGAGCTCCCTACCACGAAACGTGTGAGGGGCGTGCCCAAGTGGAATCGGGCAGCATGCGAACCCTGCCATAGGGGCCTTCGATGGAGCTCCCACTGGGGCCACGGAAGGCCTGAGGGGTGTGCCAACGTGGAGGCGGGGCGGGCGGCATGTGAACCATGCTCCTGTGGCCTTCGGTGGAGCCCCCTGTGGGGCCACGAAACGTGTGAGAGATGTGCCGAAGTGGAGGGGGGGCGGCATGAGAGCCCTGTCACTGGGGCCTTCGGTGGAACTCCCTATGTGGTCACACGAAACGTGTGAGTGTCTTCCCAAAGTGGAGGGGGCGGCATGCGAACCTACCCTACCACAGTGACCTTCGGTGCAGCTCCCTAAGGTGCCACTAAACGAGGGTTGTGCCTAAGTGAGGGGGGCGGGATGTGAACGCAGCCACTGATGATGATGCTGCTGGTGATGCTGATGATGATGATGACAATGACAAATTCGATGTCACTAAAGGTGGTGATGATGGCGATGGTGATGGTGGTGATGATGATAGCGATGATGATGCACAGACTTATGATGATGTTGACTATGCCGATTAATATGATGATTAAGTGTTTGATGATGATGGCGATGAAGACGATGTTGATGATGATGATAAGGATGGTGACAATGCTTTTCATGATGCTGTGGATGATGATGACAATGACGATGACAATGACAATGCCAATATCAATGATGATGCTGGTGATGACGCTGATGGTGATGATGATGCTGATGATGAAACATATTATGATGATGATGATGATGATGATGATGATGGTGATGATGATGATGATGATTGGGATGATGGCGATGTTGATGATGCTGAGGATGATGATGATGGCGGTGATAAAGCTGATGAGGACAATGATGATGATAGTGCTGAAATTGATGCTGATGCTGCTGCTGATGATGCTGATGCTGCTGCTGCTGCTGCTGCTGCTGCTGCTGATGATGATGATGATGATGATGATGATGATGATGATGGTGACCGGAGGGCATGGGCAGGAACTGGATGGAGGAGGGCTCGCAGGAGGGAAACGACGGGCGCTGTCTCTGCAAAACGAGAACCCAACTCCATAGAAAGGTGGGGAGCAACATAATGCAGCCAGCGAGACGCACGTCGATCAGCGAAACCGAGTGGGGACAGCACATCAGCACCTCCGAACGCCTGGCTTGCCAATGTCGAGGGAACCAGTGAAGATTCCCTCAGCGTGGGCGATCTTCGGTTGCTGCTAGCAGTGCCCTTGGCTCCAGGCGCCCCCAGGATTTCTAAGGAGCCCACGCGGCCTCCTGAGCACCCCATCACGAGGTCCTGGGGGGCCCCAGAGGCTCCCAAATTGGGCGACAAGCTGGGAGCCCCTTGGGTTCAGGGGCACCTTTTAGCACCCCCCGAAATGTATCGATATCCAATCAAATGAGCAGGGACCGACCGTCCTGGCATTCCTGCAGTCCTACCACGACATGTTCTTAGGACCCCAAAATGTTCTCAGAACGAAAACAATGTCCTTGGACCATAAACCCAGTGTGTTAAAACAAGCCAGACTCCGCCAGACAGGTTCTGAGAACATGTCGTGGAAACCACAGAAGGTTCTCAGAGCATTGTTTGGCAGGGCTATAGGCGAGCCAGGACGCTTCGCCACTGCTCGAATCAGAGGGGGGCGGCGGTCGGGGATGGACAGACCCCCCTTTAGTAAAACGTGGTTTAGTGAAAACGACTTCGGGCCCAAACCTGGCGGGCGTAAGCCTGGAAAATAACGGCCGCGGCGCCCTCTCGAGAACCGAAAACGGACAATTTACTAATCGACGTGTCACTGTTGGGGGTTCTGTCCACCCCCGAGGCGGGCGGCACCCCTGCCCTCCGGCCGCGGCCGCGGCGCTGCCCTTCAGGCCCTCCACGGTCGTGACGGACCTGGGCGGAGAGGGCCCCGCGGCCCCGGGAGCGGGCGCGCGCGGCCCCGGGCGGCGCGGAGGGGGGCCGCACGCGGCCAAGAGGGGGGTGTCCAAGGAGGGGGGGGGGTGCAAACCACGACCCGCGGCACGTGCGCGGCCCAGCGGGGGGGGCCAGGGACGTGATGAGATAAGAAGAGGCGCCGTGAAATCTGGGGAGACATCATGGCCCCCGCCATGACATCCACCCCCCCCTAGTCATCGCCCCCCTCTTTGCCGCCCCCGACGGAGGTGGGAGGGCCTCGGAGGCACACGAGCTGTGCACTGCACGCACACCGGCTCTGGCCAGGCCCAGCGGCCTGAGCCCAGGCTCGGCGCAGGCGCCCTCGTGGCGTGGCCACGGGAGGTCTGCGCACCGATCCCGGGCCCCCCCGGGATCGGTGCACGTGCACGACTGTTCTCGCCCAGGGTGTGGGGGCCCCCCCCCGCGTCGAGAAAGAAACGGCACCGCGGGAAACCTTGGGCCACCGCTGGCCCCCATGGGGGCCCTCGCAAGGCGCCTGGGCCGTCACAGAACCAGCGGCTCGGGAGGAAGAGCCCGTGCTGGCGAGAGAGAGAGGGTGGGGACTTCTGGGGGTCCCCGCCCTGGAAATCAAACCTCGGGCGTCAGGGGAGGAGTCGTGCACCCCGTAGTGGTGCATCTTGAGGTGCAGTTCTGGCAGTGCGGTCGGACGCGGACGCAGCCGTGGGGATGGCATGACAGCGCGAGGGCTGAAGGCGCCGGGACCGGGCGAGCAGGATGTCAGGGTACAGTCGGGCCTAGGAAGCAGACGGCGCCGCACGAAGAGGAAGCCAAGCGTCGAAGGACGCCGAGACGCCTTGATTCTGAGTCCGAAGGTTTGGCGCTGGTTAGTGGGAGCAAACGATTAAACAAACTCTCAGGGGCGGACGATTTAAACACATAGTTTCGCGGGCCTTCGCGCCACCGCAACAGCGGGGGGGCGAGGCAAGCAGAGGGTAAGGCGGACAATCCTCGGTTGTCTGGAGGCCCGGGGGGGGGGCGCGGGCTGACAATTCAGGGCGGATGGGGCGGGGATCCATTCAGAGCGGGGCAAGCAAATGCTGGGGAAAGACTTCGCGAATTGACGATTCGAATCCGCAGCGGCGGGCAATTCGAGGCCGCGGGGGTGCTTTTGGCCAGCCCTGAATGGGAAGTAATTTCTCATCCTCCAATCCTGCGCGGAAGGCTGACATTCTGCGCCGCCTTCAGCCAGCGACCTCCTTACCCACATCCTCTTCCAATTATCCTGCCCCTCCTCCTCCTTCTCCTCCTCCTCCTCCTCCTCCTCCTCCCCCTCCTCCACCTCCTCTTCCTTCTCCTCCTCGTTCCTTCGGTTTCCTATCCTTTGTCACCTTCCCTCTGCGAATTATTGTTCCTCTACATTATTTACATCTGGATACTAATTCCCCGTTCCCCTTTGATGTATGAATCAAGAAGATTGCATGCGCCTCTCCGCGTGTTGTGATTTGAAATGCACACAGGTTTGGCGAGAATCCGTTTCCAGAAGCAGTGGATGCCATCTTGGGAGTTCAAAAGTGTGCTAATGGAGGAAAAGCATGTGGTAGTTTACCTCTACACCACCAGGTCCAAGTATGCAGCGTCCCCTGGGGCAGAGTAGCGGTCCACCCTCCAGGGCGTGCCCCCTTCCGAAAAAAGAGGGAGGCCGCCGAAGTTACTCCCTGGCGCTCGAAACACCAGAAATAGGTGGCAATCACGAGACAAGCAAACCAAATCGGAAGACTCGTATGCACATTACTGAATGAGTCGAGGAATCACCAGAAATATATGACCAGAACAAGACAAGCAGGCGAAATCACTATAATCGTTCGCACATCACTGAATCAGTCAAATATGCACGCAGCTGAACGCAAGAGGTCTGAAATCTCAACGCAACATTAAAAGACCAAGGGGCGAACAAATTGACCCAGCTCCTGTGATGGCCGCATTTGCCATCCCACCGTCCTTTGCTCCTGTGCACACCTTCCTTCTGCATCGACACGTTTCCCCGAAGAGGTTCCGACTCAGGTTGGTTCTTAAGCCGGGGATGAACAAAATGCATGAACATACATTTTCGGCGGTCCTCCGTGGATTTTCTAGATCTGCGCTGGGACTCCCTGGACTCCCTGGCGGCGCTTCTGGCGCCCCCTCTCCGCAATCCTCCTCCCGCGGCCGCGGGTGATCAAACGAGCGCAGGAGGACGAATAGAACATCAGTTTCCGCAAAACGGCAAAATATAACGCCAGGAAGGCAGACGATTAATCTATGGTCTGCATTCTATGGTCTGCCCCACTCATTCATTTTGGGGCCCGAGGGACGAAAAGGTGGGGCATTCTCTTGATCGCTTGCCCCCAGTAGTTATGCCCGCGGGAACATGGCCGCCCATGGCGGAAGCAAAGCCTACAACCGACCGAACCGACAACGAATCCAGAACCGACATAACCGACGGAACGACAGTAACCTGGAAGGAACCGACGACGCAACGACCGACCGAACTGTACCGACCGCACTCGGCCGCCTGCGACTCCGCCGGCCGAGCCGAACCGAGCGGCCAAGGCACCCTCGAGAACCAGGGGCAAGGCAACCTCGGGTCGGGCGAAAGGGGGGGATAACAAAGGGGGGGTTTGAGAATCAGCTCACGTAGCTGATTTTCCCCGCGCCTCCCGGCGCCGGAAGCGGCTATGTATCGAGGAATGGGCCCCTCGGTGAGGCCGAAACCAGCTGCATGCAGCAAATTTCGTAACCCCCCCTTTCCCAATCCCCCCCTTTCGCCCGACCCGACAACCTCGCTGTGACCCCTCGGCAGACTCGCCGGAATCCTGGAGCAAGCGGCGCTCCTTCGGCAAACGACAGCCCTTTCGGCTCCAACGTCAGGTCGGGCATGTCCTCCTACAGGCAGATGCTGGAGGACGAGTCACACCTGCCCAGAAGCGGTGCCCCAAAACAGATCCAACAGATACTAGCAAAATCCTCCCCATATACTATGTTTGGACTGTTTTTAAACATCTTCCTCCTGTATAGGGACAGGCCCTTGGGCGTGGCTTAACGGGGGAGTCATAAATGGGGGGGTCAGAAACGGTCCCCTTTCGTGCCCCTCCGGAGCCCCAGGGGGCTCGTTTAGGTACCGCTTGGGTACCTTTTCGTACCACTCTCGCCACCCCCCCATGTATGACCCCCCCATTACGCAACGCCCAAGGCCCGACTTCACTTTAACGTGCCGGGTCCTGTCGGGACGACAGGAAGCGCCCCGCCGAGCGGGGTCGGACCGAGCGGGGTCGGCTTCGAAGCACGGCCCACTGCGAAGCTGCCCCGCACGGCGCGTCGGCCGGCTCTCGGCGAGGTCGAGGACCCATCGGGGACGCGCTGCACGGAGGGGCCCAGGGGCGCACAGATAAGCAGACGCGCATCCCAGGATTACCCCTATTTTCCAATATTTGTTCTCGGTTTTCGTCTCCCCCCCCACCCCTTCCCATATCTTCTCATTTTTTCCTGGGGGATCCGCGATGCAGTGTGTCTGTGAGCTTTCTCCCCTCCCGAGATCGCTTCGACCCACACGCGCCCGAACGCTCAAACCTAAGGGCACATGGCTGGGCGACAGTGCGCGCGGGGAGGGGAGGGCCGGCCCAACGTGGCTCCCAGACCCAGATCAGCCATGAGATGACGAACCAACAACACACACCCATACCCATAGGGGGTCGGAGAGGGCTACACGGTGCGTGTTGTCGGATGGGGGTCCCCGCGCGAACGGGAGCGTTCCCCCAGGGCCGACAGCCCGCACCCATACCCATAGCCAGAACTCCTCTCAACGGCCCCCCTATGGGTATGGTGTGTGTTGTTCGTTCGTCACAGGTCACAGCCGCCCCCTCCTCCTCCTCCTCCTCCTCCCCCTCCTCCTCCTCCTCCTCTTCCTCCTCCTCCTCCTCCTCAACGACCCCCCTATGGGTATGGGGGTGTGCTGCTCGTTCGCCAGGGAAGGGATCCCGAATTGGGCTGGCCGACCCCGCGCCGGTGGTGGACCCCTCTCCAAAACATATCTTGCGGCGTGATCTCTCTTCCGTCGGCCCCCCGATCCCCTTCCCCGGCAAAACGACCCGTCGTTCCCGAGCCTTGCTTGATTGCCCTGGGATCCGCTAGCGGTCCCCGAACTCGAAGAAAACGCGCCGAGGTGGAGGAAACATCTACAGTGAAACAAGGAACGCCTCGGGTGCGGAGGGGGCTCGCTGCTCCTGACGCTCTTCCATGGCTCCTCCTGCATCACTCCTCGTACACCTGGGCGCTTCTGGGGCCAAGAAGGGGCTTCGTTCCTTATTTAGCGCTCCGTCTGATAGCACCTCGACTGTATGACATCTGAGAGCTGGGCTCCGCTCGCCCCGATATCACTGTTTCCCAACCCGCGGCCTAGGAGCTCCCGAGCTCTACCCCTGGGGCAGCTCTGCGCCCTGGATCCCCCTCGGTCATGGCCACGGGGTCCGAAAGCGGCCCCGCGAGGCAGAAAGGAACAACGTTACGAAACCTCGTCCATATTGAAGGGGCCCCAGGACACACAAATAAATACACACAAATAAAATTATTCCCCATATTTTCCTATATTTTCTGGGTTTTTGTCTTCCCCCCCAATCCCCATATTTTCATATATTTTTCTGGGGGTCGACGATTAATTGTGTCTGTGTGTTTTTTTCCCTCCTGACATATGGAGGGTGTGATCGCCGAAGTCGTGCCCGAAACTCGGCCCCCGAGCGTGACCGAAACTGGCGCCCTCATTTTCCGAAGGGGCCAAAATGTATCCGAAAGTCGCGGTTGGAAACCAACGCGATTTTCTCGGGAGCGGCCAAGAGGGGGGTGTCCAAGGAGGGGGGGGTGCAAACCATGGCCGGCGGCATGTGCGCGGCCCAGCGGGGGGGCCAGGGACGTAATGATGCAAGAAGAGGCGCCATGAGATCTGGGGAGATATCATGGCCCCCGCCATGAGATTCACCCCCCCCTAGTCATCACCCCCCTCTCTTCCGCCCCCGATGTTTGACGTCGATCACAGTGTCGGTCACACGACGTCTTCAGTCGCAATGTCGGTGACGCTTCCGGATCCGATGCTCTTCGGCCACATACCTTTTTTGTCGGCCGGTAGGGACTGGGCGCCACCAGAAACGCCGCGATGAGAAACATAAACAAATGAAGTCTGGCAATACATCTATACACACATGTGCGGGCAATGCATATATATATATATACACACATCTATCATATAGATGCCCATGCCCACTGCGTCTTGGACGTTCTAGGCTGGGGCGCCGCAAGGAAGAGGCGCACTGGAAACATATACATGTATATCCATACATCTATATATACACATATATATATATATAGAAAGAGATATAAGTCAAACCTCTGTCAGGAGAGATGCTCATCCACGTATAGTGCACCTCGGGTTTCTGGGGAAGGGAGCCCGAAACTCCAAGCTGCATTGGACATGGACACAAGTCTTTGAGCAGGGACCGACCGTTCCAGAAATCGTATAGGTATACCGTGGAATATTCAAATAACAAAACCATGTTCTCAGAACATCAAGCCGATGGGTTAAACAAGACAAACCCAACCAGAAATAATATATGCACACTTCGTGCAGACCACAAACAAAAATACTATAACATCCTTTGGTAGGCCTTTAGGCAAGCCGGGACGCTTCGCCGTTGCTTGACGAAGCTCCAGGCTGCAATCGTAGGAGAAGAAAAAACACGCTATCAACATAATCTTTTGGCGCTCCGCGCGGATTTCTTGGATCTGCGCCGCACCCCCCTCCCTGGCGCGCAGCGCGCGCCAGGGGCGGCACCGGAGGCGCCGTCCGGGGGGGCCAGCGCGGATCCAAGAAATCCGCACGAAGCGCCCAAACAAAGTGTGTTATGACGCGTTTTGTTTGGGGGGGGGGGCTCGAAATAGATATGGGCACGTGTCCTGCCCTTTGTGGGCCCCGGGAACGGCAGGGCCGTTTTTTCACCGTTTCCAAAAATATGTCCCTTGAAAATAGAAACGGCAAAAAAACGGCGACCGGAAACGGCAAAACCGGAGCCGGAACCGGTCAAAAAACGGCGACGGAACCGGTAAAAACAACGGCGTCGGAACCGGCAAGAGAACGGCAAAACGGAACCGGTAACAAAAACGGCCCTGTCGTTTCCAGGGCCCACTAAGGGGGGGGGGGCTCGAAATAGATATGGGCACAGGTCCTGCCCGCAGGATCTGCGACTCTGGACGGCAGCGGCTCCACCGGCGGCCGCGGCCGAAGACCGAGGCCCTGGCGGCGAGCGGCGGCCTGGCGCTCTGGGTGCGTCGGGCACTTGGCTGCCCCACGGGGCCTCGGGGACCTCACGTCGGGCATTGTCCTCCTCTGGAGGCGGATCTGGGGAGGCAAATATATGGAGGGGCCCCAGGACACACAAATAAATACACACAAATAAAAAAGATTCCCCATATGTTCCTATATTTTCTTGGCTTTCGTCTTCCCCCCAAATCCCAATATTTTCTCATATTTTCTGGGGAATCGATGATTAATCGTGTCTGTGTGTTTTCTT